ATTTCTTTGCTTTTTTCTTGAAAACAATATTGAAAGAGAAGTTCTAACTTAGTTTAATTTACATTTATGTTTTCCTAAATATGTAATTAGTTTCATTGTTGAATTCAATATTTAAACTCACATAAAGATCTACTTTTTGGATTTATGGTCACGATAACACAATGAATATTCTGAAACTACATGACCTTTTTTGGGGACCTATACAAGTTTTGAATATTTGACCAATATTTTATGTGAGCAAGTATAAATTTCACACTAAAAATTGGTTTGAGGAAATGAAGACAACTATCACTGATTATGTGTTAGATAAAAATGCATATTTAGACAATAAAATTGACTATTATGAAATTTTAGACAAAATTGTGCATTGCAGTATTGTGGTTTGAATGAGATGAATGTATTGTCATTCAATTGTAATTTGTTGATCATGTTTCTAATTAAGAGATAAGAACACATAAGTTATTGGAATGATAGAATTTAGCCTCAATAAATGATAAATTTGATATATTTATTTTAGTACGACTAGTTAGCCCCATGTTCTTTTTAAGATTTCCTAAAAAATCAAGGACATAATGGATTGTTGAGGTTCATTCTCGGTTGCCATGAGAACAAACCATCGAACACCACACAAAAAAGAGATAAATGAGGCAATTGACCATCTGCCCCTTATAAAACCCAATTTAGACTTAAGATATACTCGTTGGTTGGTTGGGCTTTAACTCGTTGGTTGGTTGGATGCCTTCAACTCATATTTTGGTATATTTGTGGTTCATTCTTGTTTTGATAGTCATCTTTTAGGGTTGATTTGACTATTGAGGTTTATCCTTTGATTTTGATTTGAGTTGAGGTTCATCCTCACCTTTGATTTGAGTTAATGTTCATCCTTGCTCTTTTATCGTGTTGAGATTAATTCTTGTTCCATCTCTAAGTGGATCCCACTTTAGATTATCAAAAAACCAAAGTCAACCAACAATGATAGACACACTCATCTATCTCTACAACATATTCAATCGTGAGGAAATTAAATCATATGTTTACTATGTCTATGTAGAAAATATATGAGCATCACACACACCTCAAGAAAATAATATCACAAAAGATTACTTCGACCTAGCACCACGTTACAATATTAAATCCCCTTCTCAATGTATTATTATATAGCCATTGTTTTTTTAGCACCTATAAACAGGCATACCAATTTATATTTATTTATGATTTGATGGTTCTCTCACTAAGCATGGCCACCTAAATAAAATAGGTTTCATAAATAACTAAATAATTGTCCTGATATTAAGCCTAATGCATAAACCGCTCTAATATTAAGTTTAGCAGGTCATCACAAAAATCATAATCATAACAAACTAAACACAACCATCACAATCAAAGTTAATTTAATTTAAACATAGGGTCGGTGACCCAACAAACCATTTTTTATGAGTGTGGAGTCTGTGTGATTAGTTTAATTTAGGTTTTATGTTGAAGTTGTGAAGATTTTATTATTTTAATGTTCAAATTTAACCAAGCATGATTTCGATTAAGTTTTAAATATTTTGATGTGATTTATTAATTATTTCATAATTCTTATTTTGAAGTTAGTTATTACTTAAATATCATATATAAGTTTATGAGGCATATATATGTATTTAACTAAAATTTAAAATTTAAAAGGTGTCTAAAATCACATTGGAAAGTAATCATAGACCTTATAAAAGTATAAAATCCTTTATTAAAAAATTAAGTATTCTATATTTCATGATTTTTGGAATTTTTTATTAATAAAATTTTATTTATTTTGATTTTTTCAAAGAAAGTGTATTTTTTAGGATAAATATTTTTAAAACCTCATGAATTTATTATGCAATATCTTATTGTTCTCGAATTTGATTTATGAAAATTTTATTTATTTATTTTTAATATTTATTTATATGTTTAATTTAAATTTATAAGAAATCAAATTGAATTATCTTGGAAATTTACAAGTACAATTTGAATGCAATTCCAAACAAACATTGCAATTTTTAAATCAATTTGAGATCGAATAGATTTATTCTCAAATTTAATTATTTTAATTATATTTATATTCAAAATTGTAAAAATTTGATTTTTTTTACTTTTTTGTTATAATGTTTCATTGGTGAAAATTTTGAGTGATTTGAATTTTAAATAAATGAGTCTAAAAATTTAAATTATTTCCTATCACTTTCTTCTTCTTTCAATTGATCTTATTAAAAATATGATGAAATTTTTAGTTTAGAAGGAATGAATGTAATGATTCTTAAAAGAGGGTATACTTATAATTTTGGGAATTACAAAACAACACTCGCCTTATTAAATTTGTAAGCTGAATCTAATTTCATTCATTTCTCTGTTTTGTTGATAAGCTAAAGGAATTTTTAGGAAATTTGTGGTTTAAATGTTTGTTGTTAATGATTTTAAAAGAATAAGGTATATTTGTAATATTAAAATTTATAATTTTACCCGAACTTCTTTTATACACTCAATCTAAGTTGTAATCATCATTTGATCAATTCTTATTGGTTTTTTGTTTTCAAGATGCTTTGATTTTAATTTACCGAATTTTATTTTAATTTTGATTGTTATTATTTATTTCCATATTATTATTATTATTGTTATATTGAATTTTTAATAATAAATTATAACTTCACGTGTTTTAGTGATTTTTTTGACCTAAGGAAAATCACTGAGAGTCAAGTTAATGAAACTTAGCATTCCTTGAAATTTTCACATTATTTTAATATTAAATATTTTAATTTGGTTTTATTAATTGATTAAGCTAATTATTTAATTAAGTTAAATACACTAATGTTCACTATTTGATTGTTATTCCACTACATTGCATTTGTTTTCTTGAGTTTAGCACACTTTTTCACTTATTATTTTTATTTAACTTTGATTTTTATATGAATTCCAAAGTGTATATTATTATTATATTTTATTTAATCATTTTTATTGCTAATTTCCAACTCAACGCCGCACTACGCTCTGTGGTTGGATAATTAACCAAGTAACACATTAATATTGGTGACCTAATGATTATCAATGATTGGCAACGCCATGTGATACATGATTGCTTGGACTAAACCTTACACTATCAAATTATGGTCATCTACTCCCCACACAGCGAGAATGTACTACATCAACTCATCGTCTCAAATAGGACAGTGAATTGAAGCCTTCCAATTAAAATTGCTCAATCCGAAGTATCAAGTGCTCAAAATAGAAATTCAAAATGAGCCAAATCTATCGTTCATCAAAACCCTACTCATACAAATATAAAATCACATGACATCAAAGCTTTATTAGAAAACTCGAACTACTGAAAGCCTTAGTCAAAGATTGTGAAATTTCTTCAAAAGTAGAGACAATCCCAGAGTTTGAGCAGCATGGATTGGTCGTCTTATCCTCTCGATCACTCCTTCAAACGTAGCAACTAGCTTCGATTCTTTTAACCAAATTCTTGATTGAAGGGTGGACATGTTTGATTGAATGTTGGGCTGCAATGAATTTCAGAGGGGAAATGATGAAGGATGCGCTTTAGAGCTTCATCAAAACTTTTGGAAGCTTCAATTAATAAAATCAAATAGTGTACGATGTGTTTCAATACTATCCTTGTTCGGTAATGGCAAGTTCAACATAGTTGTAGGGAGAATTGGGGAAGGTACTGAAAGCCTTTGGAAAGGGTCTATTGGGAAAGCAAGGGTATGAGTGAGGGAGGTTTTGAATTTGAAAATTCAATGGTGCGATTTGAGAGAGGCATGGAGTACTATATGTAGATAGGCTCAATTGGGGGCAATTAGGCACCAATTATTGGTGCTAAGGTTGGAGCTAGTTGACAACTAAACTAGAGACTATGAGGGAACACTAGGTGGTTGAAAGCTCGCCATTAAGATAATTCTATGTTGAGAAGTCTTTTTGTTACAATAGGTCAAGGTGTGTCAAGCTGTCCATATTGTTATAATGCTCGAACTTGGGTTGGATCACCTTCGTGAATAGAAATAAATGAGCTAGAAACGGGTTTAACATAGGATACCAAGCTTAGGTAGATTTGGATTTGTTTAAGGTTGGTTCAATGGTTGTTTTTTTGGCTAGAGTAGCTTTTCGAGCAGGTTTTACAAATTTTGAGTTGGATTTCTATGGTTGAGTTCAAGTTGCTAGGTTAAGGTTCATTATTGAATGATCAAGGTTAAGTGAGTGCTAGGTTTGGATTTGAGTGAGCTAAAGGTAAGCTAGAAACTTTGGTAGCAAAGATCAAGAACCAAGTTGAATTTAAGGTTAGTTATGTTGTTGAGTTGGAGTTGATTTCATGCAAAATTTGTATGAAATTATTTAATGATTTTGATTGTTGAATTTAGGCTTAGTTTAATGGTGAATGGAACTAGATTAAGCAAGGATTTGAGTGAAGTTTGACAAGAGTTTCTCTTAGGTCTGCTTTGAATAAAATCAGGGTCACTTAGGATTGTTTGATTTCAAATTTTAAAGAAGTGTAAAGATCATTTGGTGAATGGATTTAAATATGATTTGGAATGTTGATTTGAAATGAATTTTAAGTAGTTTTCAACCTTTGGGTTGGATTTAGTTTGGTTGGAAAAGGGTTTGAATGGCTGAATTTATTAGATTTTGTAATGGGGTTTGATTTTTGATTTAGTTTGGGTTTTGTAATTTGATATGTTTGAATTTGAATTGAATCAATATTTTAATGTTTGAATGAGGTTGGACTTTATATTAATGGTTTTGTTGATGTATTATAATGTTATCTACTCTTTAATTTTATGTTTTCAATTACATATGATTTTGACCTTATTGAATTTGATTTTGACTAATTATGTAATTGATGTTGATTTTAAATTTATTTATTTATTTGAATTTTTTATGTTTGAATTTAATGGATTTGATTTTAGTTTGGTTGAAGTTGATTTTAATTTTAATTATATTTTATTTTATTCATGGAATAACTCGATCATAGTTCAAATTGAATGACAAACAAACTATGCTCACTCTAAACTGAAGAAAAGTGGCAAAAGAGTGTCCTCTAGGTTGAACAAGCCAAAGGTTAGCTTTAACAAGCCAAAAAGGTGCATAAGTCACCAAGTGAAGTTTTTAGGCTCAATAGATCTCCTAAAAACATGTTCAAAACCTTCTAATATACTCAAATTGTAGCTTTAATAACCATACCATGATCACTCAGGACCAATCATATGTTAAGGATTAAAAGCAAGCGTGTTTCAAACCAATGGAAGTGGAAATTCGGTTCTAAGTTATAATTTTTAGTCTCAACCATCTATTAGTCCTCTAGTATAACTTCTAAGAAAATTCTAAGGAAGAGTTGAGAAGGGGAGATGAACCTCTCTAAAAGTTAAGTCAGCAGTTATCTTTAAGAAAATCATTTTTTAATGACATTTAGTGTACTTCTTATAAACAACATTAGCATGTAATTAAATTACTTTGTTATTGAATAATAATTTTTTCATGAAATTTTTTTTTTCCTTATATCAGCGCTTGATGGCCTAGCTTGAATTTTCTTAATAAGATTGGTTGCACATCTTGTAAGTACTCTCCCATGCATCTTAAACCCAATTTTCACCATTCTCCCATTTCACTCTACATCTAAACTACCCTCTAAGCTCAATCAAAACCTTAAACCTATTTCAAAACCCTTTTATATATCTCAGGACTAAATTATATGAACGGTTACACAATCCTGCTCTATACACTTCTATAAGGCTCTAAGCTCTACCACAGTCTATCATCTACTCCAAGTTATAAGTTCACATTCTGAAAAAACCCTTCAAAAAATATTTTTTCCCTCTAAACCACTAAAACTCTTCTCTTAAGAAGATATTTTACTAAGTCCAAATTGGTTAAATTTAGACTGATCTTGATATTATTTCCACCAAACTTCTCTAATGGCCCCACCTCTCCACCATCCATCCCAAATCACAAGTTAATATTTTAAACTATCTATCTATTATAAATTTCATGTATTTACACCAGTTAAAGTTTAATGTAAAATTACATTTAAAATCAGTCCAAACCAGCTTAATAAAGATTAATTTTTATATTCCTTATATCAAACTCTTATAAAACTCTAGAACTAACACTAAAAAGGCCATATTATATTATAAAAAAATTAATAGTAAAAATCCATTAAATAATCCCCCAAGAAATAAGTTAAGGGGAAGATCATGATTATGCTTGGAAGAGAAATGTTCCGGCAGCCATTTCATTCAAACATTCAAAGCATCATCATTTCTCAAAATAATCAAATAATAATGCTATTTGAGCAATTATATATACATTATGACATGCATTTAGTCAAATTTCAAAAGAAAAATGGCACCACTTATGTTTAGGTGCATAAATACTTTACTTTTGGAGGGCTTGTTTGAAAAAATAAGAAAGTTCAGGGGACAGTCTGCCGGTCCGGCGTCCCACTCTGCTTCGTTGCCATGTTCTGACTTCGTCCCTTTCACATCTGGACAAGAGAGAACAAAAATTGAGAGCGATATTAAGGACAAAACGGAGAAGAAGCGGGTGGAGAGAGAGAGAGAGGAGAGCTGTCGAGCGAAGATTGGGAGAGAGATGGAGAGGGAGATGAAGGACGCGGGCGAGGAACGTGAGAACGGAGGGGAAGTTGCGGAGGAGGAGGAGGAGGAAACGACGGGCTCGAGCCTAACAATGGAGAGGGTGGCTGCCGCGAAGCAGTTTATAGAAAATCACTACAAGGCACACATGAAGAACATCCAGGAACGGAAGCAAAGGTTAGTATCCACAAATTCATTGTAGGTCCTCTTTGTTTCTAGCTCCATAAAGATCAGATCCCTGTCTTCAATCCCGGTGGTTTTTCATCCGGGCTCGCCGATCTCTTTCTGGCTGCCCGTCATTAGTTTTGTGGTTAACAGTGGATTAATTTGGGATAATAATTATGGTATGTGACATTTTTCTCTTTTGAAGGAGGAGGTGCGGAATCCTTCCTTGTTTTGCTTCGTGCGGATTAGCGATTTTAACGTTTATTTGATATCATCGTGCTTTTGTTAGCATCCTTAGTTAAAGGGATAATGTTTTGTTTGCTGAGTTTGGATATCGCGATTTGGATCTTTGTATGAGTGCTTTGCTGCAATTTTGAAGGTTCCAAATACTTCTTATCTAGGGAATGAGTCTACCCTCTGCTCCTCTATACGCTTGGTTTGAAACACGCATTATTAACCACAGATTTTTTATTAATTTCCTTTTATGTCTCACAGGCAATTCGAGTGCGTTTAAACTGGTCGAGCAGTTAGCTTAAAGGTATCGATTTTCTTAAAAGTTAATTTAATTTGAAGAAATGAAAGGAATTGAATGGACTATTCGTTAAGTCAGTCTCTGGCCTCAATGGATGATACGGATGCAAGACAAGCTTTTAGATGTGATGCTGTTGTGGTGGGTGCTAGGAACTTATTTGCCTTTTTAGTTTTAGACAAGTACATGGTGGGAGGGAGGGCTGGAGGGAACGGGAGGGAAGGCGGGCGGGCAGGCAGGCGTGATGGAGGGAGGGAGGGAGGGAGGGAGGGTGTGGAGAGGAATAATTCTTTTTTGTCATCTATCCACATTTAAGTGTAAAAATATATAAATATATGATTTTTTTTTGAACTCATACGAACACTCGTATATGCTAAGCCCTGAACTCAAGACCTTGTAGTTGGATATGAAACATTTAACCCCTACGCTAAATTTGTTATATGATTGACAAATAATAGGATGGTGTATTGACACCTACTTTATAATCTGTTATAGTTGGCTAATATACATTATTGACAAATAATATGAAAGTTTATTTGCTCCAATGTTACCCCCTATTCTTTTTGCCTTCCTAGTATTGAATGAGGAATAAGATTAATATAGAATTGTAAATGATAATGTTATGAGTTTCCTTCTATTAGTATAATTAAGGCATCAACTTTGATGTAAAAGTCTGTAGCTTATTTTTATATGTTTTTTGCATTGAACTTCATTTCCCTCTCACTTATAATAAGTTTGTTAATAATAGGATGATATTATTTTTTTTTAAGTTAAATGCTATTTTTTGATCCATGGAATCTATTTATTGAGTGTATCATTTCTTCTCACCCATCTCTCTTTCCTTCTTCTTCTTTTTGACTTCTTCCATTATTCGTATTTCTATCCATATCTCTACCTCTTTATTTGATAAACACAAGGACTTCTAATTCATTTGGCTTCTTATTATGAATGCTTGCATGGGCAAAAGTGTATTTAATACATTTTAAATGTATCTATGGATGGTTTGGGTTTACTTTTGATACTTGTATTGTAATTTTTATGTACTGGTTCAATATATTGGCTTTTTAGGATTCATATTTACTTGAAAATTCTAATGATTTAATTATTTATTTCAGATATTAGCATCATACTTGTATATACGATTCTAGTGTGTATAAGTAACATGGCATCTCTATATTCACTAGATCATAGAAATTTCATATTGGTTAAGTCTATTCGAAAGTATAAATGATAAACATCATTTTGAAATTTTGTAGGGATGATCTTATTTCAATGGACCACCTAACTATATAGTGCAAACTAAGATAAGTCATCTTAATCAGAATTCCAAGCTATCCAAAAAGGTATTTAAAAATAGATGAATAAATAGCCAAATGTGATTGCCTTTTTAAATTTAAAAGAATTGTCGTTATTGACTCAAATGATATTTAGAGAAAAAGGGCTAATAGGTTTCTTAATCTGTTTAATGCAGCTGGAATAGTTCATAAATTTTTGTATCAGTAAGTGATGGAATCTTTAGCCTTATTGAAATATTTATCTCTATTAACATTGGAGGAAAAAGAAAAATTCAGCCATACTAATAGTTTTTAAACTGATCGGACAAGAAGAGCGGAATTAAAGATCTTAAGTTAAAGACATTACATTCTCTAAATTTTTTAAGCCTGCAAATTTTGCTCCATATAGTAATGTGTACCCCTTTGTATTTGTGGAATCCTTCCAAAAGTTTTACTTTTGGTGGAATCAATTTTCTTGATAAACCGTGTAGCAATCCGAAAGTATAGCAGATAATATGGTGGGACACTAGTAATAACAAAGTTAGAAAGAGTAAACCTTTCAGTTCTCGGAAGGAATCTATCCTTTTTATTAGAAAGTTTGTTTTGATTGTTTTCAATTACTAAATTTCAAAAACATTTTTTGAAAAGATTTGGAGCCATGAGGAATATGAATGCACATGAATGGATAAGATCCAAAAAAAAACCCCATATATTGACAAGGTAGTCAGCTTGAATCGAACTTCCTCCAAGGTAAACTAGGAAAGATTTAGTGAAGTTAATATTAAGACTTGAAGCTTTACCGAAAAGGTGAAGGTTATATTTTGGGTAAACATCTTTTATCTTAATAGCTTCACAAAAAAGAAGTGTCATCAACAAATTGATTGCTATTAATAACAATAGTCTTTGTTAAGACAACATTTATTGATCTAGCTGTTGAAAGCAGCATGATTTTGTGCAAGACATTTGTCACAATCTTGACAAGAAAAAGGCGAAAATGCATCACCTTGATGAACTCCTTTATGACATTTGAATTGAGGGCTCAAATTCCCCATCAATACTTGATCGAATTAGGAAGGAGATATTGAATTTAAAAATTGCTCTACAATCATAATGTCACTATTAATGCATTTTCCTTTCCAAACCTGCCATCATCTTTCTTCAGATTTTTTGTGATTTGTAAAACCGTGCCTGGCAATAGTTTTTGATATGGAATTAATTGTTTTAGTAAATTGAATGTCAAACAAAGAAATATGAAGGCTTAGCATGAGACTTAACATGAATACCTATTGGATTAGGACCACCAAAGTAAAATTAGGCTAACCTTATTCAAAGTTAGCAAAGAAAACGTTCAAAGATCGTGAAGGTCTATAAATTGTCAACTTTGAAGCACAAATACTTCCAAATGGTTTCTATGTCTGTAATGGGGTTAAGATAAATGCAGATCAATAATTCGAGAGATTCATAATAAAATACTTGAACGGAAGCACACAAACAAGTAATTCTGGAAAAAAAATATGCAAAGCACTTCAAAATTTAATGTGAAAAAAATCACGGAGTCACACCACACCAAAGTATCCGCTATAAAAATGAGGAGAATTTATAGGTTACAATGCACTCGAGTCCCTCTACTCTCTTGGAACTCAAAAAATACTTCGAGACACTCCTTTTGAACAAGATAAATTCACAAACTACTCACAAAATGTTTGTTCGCACAAAGGTCTTATTTGCGTACATGACAGATAGAGAACTTAAAGCGGGAAACATACGAAAAGACTTCTTGCATCAAAATCAAAGCCTTTAAATCTAGAACTGCAAAAATATTGCTCCTGCCATCAGTGCGCCACCCTTGGGCGCATGATTTCCTGACGCTCGGTGTTGTGAGCGACCCCGGGCGTGGCTGCGCCCTCCTAGGCGCTGAGTTTCCATCCCTGGAACTTTTGGATGGGCGTCCTTCCTGGCATTGGGGCGCCTGTATCCGAGTGAAGGGTTTCCTCGGGCTTAAATTTTTTGGGAGTTGGAGCACCCCAATCAATCTCCACGCACAATAATCTCCTATTTGGAGGTTGATTGCAATTAATTTCTCTCCTCCAATATATACCCTTCATAATAATGAACTGTAGTGTGACTCAACCCCAGTCTCAATCTTCTTGAACTTCAACTGAAGCCAAACATAACTTTAGTTTCTCTATTGTAACATCCTTAATTAACATATATGAGGAATTTTGAGTTGTGTGTATCTTTTCCAAAGATAAACTATTTTTAGCAGTGAATGAATGAAATGATACCTAAACTGAATGTGTTTCGTCCTGACATGAAAATAATTTTCTTAGCTAGATGAATAACACTTATACTGTCACTATGAAGTTTTCCAATCTCTTGCTCATTGCACAATTATGTCATAAAGCTTTACAGTCAAACCACTGTTAGCCTTAGTGATAACAATATACTCGGCTTTTGTGGTTGAAATTTCAACAATCTACTGCAATCTGGAAACCCAACTCATTGCTGTGTTCCTTAATATGAAGAGATATCCTGTTGTACTTCTACTATTGATATCCCCTACTAGATCTAAATTTATAAATCTCTATAGATTAATCTCCACACTTTCAAAACAATGTGCTCTATTGATTGTTCCTCTCAAGTATCTTAGAATCCACTTCACCATCTTTCAATGGTGTTTCTCTGGATTACTCATGTGTATGCTGACAATTCCAACTCCATATGCAATATCCAATCTTATACATATCATAACATACATCAAACTTCCAACTATTGAAACATACAAAGTTCTTTTCATCTTTGCTTGCTTTGCTTTAGATCTGAGTGATAGTTAATTAAATAGTTTGAAGGAACCTTCTAAGGTGGTGCTAACTATTTTTTTCTCTTATGTTTAACCTGTTTACTCAATATACTCTATCTGATAGAACTTCAAATTATTTGTATTCCTATCCCTATTGATTATAATATAAAGGATATTCTTTGTTGGATATAAATTCTTCGTTTTAAACTCTTCTGATAATTGCTCATTCATCTGTTCCAACGATCAACATGTCATCCACATACAATTAAAACACTATAATAATTATCAAAATTTTTGATGAAATAAGAATGATTTGCATGACACTTCATGTACTTATTGTATGACATAAACCTATCAAACATTATGTACCATTGTCTTGGTACCCGCTTAAACACATAAGAACTCTTCC